TAATATTTACTTTTTCGTATTTGTATTTGACAACTTATTATTTATATGTTATTAAATTAGATTACGTTAATTTGTAAAAGTTAAGATTGAACTTGGTATTTATATCTACTTTTTGTTATTAATATTAGTATCTACTTTCAGGTGTATTTATGTAATATTATTTTAAATGTTAAAAAATTTAATTATAGTTCGGAACCGAACCGAACTGAACCGAACCGAACCCGAACGGTTCCAAAATTACAATTGGAACCGACGGTTCCATTTACTAAATACTTGAAAATTTCTGGAACCGAAAAAAATCGAATCGAACTGAACAGAACCGACCCACGCCCACCCCTACTCAAAATTCTTGATTTATGGCCCGTTTGATTCTTATTATTGTAGAATGAGAATGAAAAATATAGTCGTTATTGGGCCCCACACAAGAGATAGAAATTCAAAATTGATGGCTTGATGTGATGGATAACGATCATATTTTTTATTTTTTATCGATGAAAAATGAGAAACAAATGGAGGCAGAATGAGACATTTTATACAACTTCAACAATACTCTTTATATTTATTCTTTATTTTGCTTTTCTCATAAATACTTTTAATTTTTTAGCTCCATTTTCCTCCTTTTGTTTTTACCTTACTTCCATATCTTTTAATTAATTATTGTCCGTGCTTGTTCCTTTATAAACCCAAGGGACGCATAGAAAATTGCAAAATATTATATGAAAGCATTAAATGTATAATATAGAGAGATAATTTGTTTTCTTTACGTTTGGAAAGTCAAATTCAATCTTCATTTTAAACTTCAAATACAAAGAACTTATTGGAACCCTATGAAAAGAAGATTGATGAATTTCTACAATAAAGAGAATGAGAAGGAAAGTAATAAAGAGCGTACTTGAAATGCTATAGCGTAGTAAAATCAACCAAAAATCGAAAAATTATCCTGCAAAACTCACTAGTACTATGGAAACGGGAATGGGAATGGGAATGGGACTCTCATTAACGTCCATTGTTAGATGTTATAAAATTTAATATTTTAGCCTCCGTTTGACGTATATATAGATTAAAATCTCCAGTTAAAATTAAACTTAATTTTAGTCACATATTTCTTAATACCTATAACTCGCATTTTATAATTATTTTTTTTCAAAATTTACTAAAATTTTAAATTTAATTTACACTAAACGGGGCTTAGTGTAATAACTAATAAATCACCTATGCATATAAAATTTTAAACTATCAAAGATGAAATAAATTTAACATGGATCTCATGAATCACCTTAGTTCGGATTTTTTCTTCAAAGAACATACACGTTGGATTTTCAAAAAATAGTTGTTGTAAAATAAATAAGATATCAAAATAGTTCTGATACCACTTGTTGTGAAACCAATCACCTGCTTGAGATATTGAAGTTATATGGCTTAATAATGAATTATTTGTTCAAGCAAAAGAATAATGAAAAGCCTATTATTTATAGGGAACAAGGGATGTCTAAACCCTTTTAGTAGAGTTGTTGATGAAGTGAGATACCAAAAATAGAGTTCAAAACGAAGTAGGAGAAGAAAATGCGAAAAACAAAACATAACAAAACAGGTGGCGCCGCGGCGCCGAACGTTCTGTAAAAGATTGTGTACACCACAAGGTGTACACATAGAACAATTCATATATATATATCTCAATCTTAAATTCTTTTTCAAGTTCAATATTAATTTCCAACTCTCAATTAGCTTCCTAAATAGAACTTCAACTTGACATAGAACTTCAATAGTATTCCAATTGAATTCTTCTTGATGTGCACTTTAATTAGAATTCTCCAATACTTCAACAAAGAAATTCGGGTTACACCCAAATTCTAATATTAATGGTGACAATACTTGAACTCAAAACATTTATTTGCTCCTCCTATAGATAGGGCGTGAATTTAATTATTTATACTCATATTTTCAACAATAATACACATGTCAAATTTTATCAAGTTGATTGCAAAAAGTCCAATTGATGGGCCATGAGAATTTGGAAGAATCTCTTCGACAATTTGCTTAGCGGCATAATACAGCCCGTGACTCCCGAATTTGTTGATTTTAATGTATATTATAATGTGCAAGTGGAAGAAAAAGAAGTTTCATGCATGATTAATCCTCATCTCAATCTGTCTCTTTGCATCATACGTATAATAATATCAAAGTTGAGATAGATTAAGAATTTTCATACTTTACGTTGAATCAATTTTATAATCACGTTCCATTCAATAATTGTACACTTCTTTGAATGAATTGAATTAAATTCTCGTAATAAAACGCCTAATATTTTGTTTACTAGCCTTCTTAATTTTCGGTGACTTCTCATGAACAAATTGTGTTAGGACCCATCAAACTCCACATTTGTATGATATTGTTCGCTTTGGGTCTGGGCCCTCACGAATTTGCTTTTGGATACTACCCAAAAGACCTTATATCAATGAAGTATTGTCCTACACTTATAAACTCATCATATTTTCCATGTCTAGCCGATGTGTGACTTCTTTCCCAACAAATTTCTCATAATTTCTGTTCTAATCTCTTCCATTTCAAAGAGGGTGGAGGTGAAGGCAAAGGCGAAGACAAAGGTGGTGGTTATAACTCTTTAACGATTTTCATGAATTTAGAAATGAAATCAATCTCGCACGTGAGTGGCTTGTCTTTAAGAGCTTGTTTGGTAGTGATTTTTTGGGGGAAAAATTGATTTTGAATAGTGATATGATGGGAATTGTGTGGTTGAAAAAGAAGTAAAAATTATTGATGTGATGGAAAATATTATTTTATTGAAGAATGTGTGGTTGAAATTGAGAATTGATTTACTGTAGAATTTTGAGAATCCCTCAAGTGGTTGAAAAAGAAGAAAAAATTATTGATTTGATGGAAAATATTATTTTATTGAAAAATGTGTGGTTAAAAATGAAAATTGATTTACTGTAGAAAATGAGAATCCCTACCAAACAGGCCCTAAATGTTAAATTGTTATTAAAAAAACGTTAAAAATATCCAATTTTAATACCTTCAAAAGGTATTAATAAATAGAAATGATTATTTTTACGATATATACTTTCATTAATCACCATCGTTTTCCATAAATGGGACATCTCCATATAATGGTGTAATGATGCGTCGAATTTGGGTCAAGGGTCTACTCAAGTCACATTTTCCCCCACCACGCATTAGAGTTTAGCCGATGGGACTGGGAGATGGTGACAAAATATCTCAGCTTCTAAAGTTAAAAAATTGTTTGGGACAAAGTTAATTTGACAAATTTGTCTTGAATTTTGCTACTATCTTGATTTATATAATGTCACAAGATACTCTACCATTTACCAGTTTATAATAGAATCAACTTTTTCATTCAATCTTTTTCCCTCACGTCTTATTATGTAATCCATAATATACATTTTGTTTATGTATAAGTAGTAAAATTCATTTGTCTTTGACGCAAAAAAGGATATTCATAATTGAATTCTGCTTGATGTACATAAAAAAGTGTAAAATGCAGTTCTCACCCCATGTGAGGGAATAGACACCCTTGTGTAGTTGGATTTACACCATTTATTTTAATCACAACCATCACATCATTGTCCAAATTTTCACGACATAGGAAAAGTGTCAAATACATTGTCAATCAACAATGTACATATAGCTTTATTCTAATGTAATCAAAGTTTGGGCACTTTCGTTAGCCAATTACATGTTCCCTACTTAAGCCGCAGTTTTTAAGAATATATTTTGTAAAAAGTAATGTTCTTAACCAATTATTACTGAGCCCCATTGTCTAGAGTTTGTGAAAATAATAAAGTTAAAATTATTAACCAATTATCACCGGACTCTAATATCTAGATCGGTACTTAACATCTCTAGTGATATATAACATTATTCAACTGAAACTTAAGTAGAATAAGTGTAGATAAAAAGTATATTTCAAATTGTGATTTAAGTTTTGCCAAACATGCTCTAACATTCCTCCCAGAAAAAATTCCCCTAGGATTTTAAAAACAGTGCAGACGTCAATTGTCTCAGCACACGGTTTTGCGCTGCAAACACTGCTGAATATAAATCTACATTGCTATGATTATCTCTAACTTCTATAGTTGTGAACTGCACTTTTCCTTGGATTAGACTGTAAAAATTTGTAA